AGCCACTGGTCATACTGAATGTCTTGGCATTTCTTTTGACATGTCAACAGAAAATTCCACATATTTAAAAACCCCATTTAGCTGGCAAGTGTTCTAAACAGAGCCCACCTAACAACTGGTAAGTAGTAGAACCAAACTATACTGGAAGTCAAAAACAGAAGCAAAATGAAATCAAAAACCTCCAAACTCCACACTGATTTATGAATACTTCTGTAAATGGTATCACTGTCTAATTTGTTCAGACTCAGGGGGACCAGAACAACTTTGTTATTTGTGCATGTCTACGCATTTGCCAGAGGCTTGTAAAGAAAAATTCCTCTGAAAAATCGCAATAATAAATTTTTGCAAAATTCCTTATGTCCTATGAAATGTTACCTCTTGCCATTCTCCCAGTCAGTCTTTTCAGCCTTTCAGAGCTGAAAGAACAGCATCTGGCAATCGGTGACCAATGACACAAATGACAAAAAAGCAAAGAGTCTGTGAAAACCCCTGGGCAGAAGGTTAATTGCGGAAACTCTTGGCGAATACTTCTGAATAATGAATACATGCACAGGCTTTAGGTTAGGTTGGTAAACTTGGCTGGCAATGAGAAGGAGGAACAACCATCACTGTTATTATTTGTAACAAGGTGTTCAGCATCTCTCAGCAACTCCGGTTTCTGGAAGCTTTGGGAAGCATTGCCATGGGCATGGGGAACCGAGGGTGTGTTACAGGCATGGCCTTCCACAAACTTTCCTTCACTAAGGAGCAATCATGGGAAAATTGCCAGGAGGCCACTGGCTGACACCACCTGGATGAACATGTGAGTCTCTGCCCAAGAAATTCATTCCTTGGTGACCAAAAGTCACCCTGAATTCTGGGTGGATCTTGGTCAGGTTGGTTACACCAGTGCCTAGGCTGGGGCTGTGGGAGAGTACTGCCAGGCACAGCAGGGGCACTGCAAAACTGGGTTCAGCCAGAAACCATCCTTATGTTTGAACAGCTGACAGAGTGACCTCAACTAACTGCCTTTAACTCCTTAGAAAAGGGGCCACTTCCAAAAAGAGAGAAAGAGAGAGGCCACTACAACTGTGAAGTCAAAATTGGCCATGGATCAAAACATGCACCAACATGGCTGACCTCACCTTGTTAATTTGCTTTTAAAAAAAAAAGAAGTCTCTTTCTTTTCAAGCTTTAAATAGAGTGGGTACAAAGAAGCACAGCTGGCTTCCTTGGGTGTGGAGCAAAGGGAAGAGGTCAGATTCCCTGATCTTTCTAGCAATTTCCACCTGACACACCATTCCTACATGCAGCATTTTGCTCACAGAGATAGATATGACTTACAGGCAAAATAGGTCACTTCTGTCTTTTACAGGTATCTTTATACCAAGTGATAGCAGCCATCAGACCTGCAGCCTCCAAGGTTCATGTTCCTAACCTCATGTCCCTTGCTCTGCTGGGGCAGGACTTCCATCTCCATCCTTAAATGGCTGAGGAAGGGACTCAGGGAGGAGCATGCAAATGTGCTAAAGGGAGCAGAAACATCTGGAAGCCAGCAACCCACTGCACTTCAGCTTTAGTGTTTGATCACTGTGGGTACTATGCAGCTATTTCCAAAAGCCCCCTGGGATTCACACGTTTCTGAAGGCTGTTTTTTGTTTTACCTCAGTGACTCTGCTGTGTTTAAGGGAAAAAAAAGAGATCTGCTATTGAGGGGGTCCATGCAATAGGAACTCCACCAAAGTCCTGGCTATCTCCCTTTCTCCCCTGTTGGATAGGTTCTCTGTTTCTGCAGAGGAGCAGGATCTGCCAGACAGATTCTCTGTTCCTGCTGCCTATCCAGGTGATTCCCCTGGGCTGACACAGAGCCTGGTCTGACGTGGTGGATCAGCAGGTGCTCCTGGAGCCCACAGGAGAGCTGCTCCAGGTGTGCCTGCCGGGAGAGCTGTGGTTTGCCCCATCCTGCCCTGAGCATGCTGATCAAAGCCAAGTTTATTCCAGCCTTTAGGTACATGAATATGTCCATTATTTTGGAGCACTGCTATTCCGTGCTATTCCTTGCACAACAACGTTCATCACCACTGAGAGTCCTTTGTGTTGGTCATTAGGCATTTTGAGGATTGTAGCAATTATTGGGTTGAGATACACAGAGAATTACTGAGTGGTTGATTCAGCTGCAGGGGTAGAGGACTGAGACAGAGGCCAAGAACAGAGCAGGGCTTTGGATATACAGAAACTTTAGAGACATCAGAAGTATTTCTTTAACTTTTGGTCACTGAAGAACATTTGAGATTTATGCCTGTGTTGTGCCTTACCTGCCACTTGGACTGGCAGCTGATCCCTCCCCTGAGATGTGCTGCTCTTTAAGAAGCCCTCCTTTTGAAATCCCACCATTCCTGTTTCACCTCTGCTACCGGATCGTTGCCTTTTCTTTCCATTATCTTTCCTTTTCAGACTGCCCACCAGCGGAGCTGCACGGGAGGGCTGGGGCAGGCACGGTCTCTTCCTGCTGACAGACAGGTGGGTGGAGATGTCCCTTGGCCACAACAAGAGGGCCAGGAGCCCAACAACAGCGGGAACACAGCGGGGGAGCTTCCCGGGCCCTGCCTCTGCTGCTCTGGACCTGGGCCTCTGTCTGTATCTCATCATCCCTCCTGGGGTGGGTGCATTTCTCAAACTGCTTAGGTACCAAGGTGATAGGTGCCTTGTAAATACCTAAGATAGATACAGACAGAAACTGTACCAGGCGCATTATGCAACACTTCAGACAATGCCAATGGCACCTCAGTGCTGTAGGATCACCCACCTGGTCCAGCATCTGCAGGCAAATACTGGGCACATGCATTTTTCCTTTGGAAAAGTGATGGGAACACAGGACATTCATTCTTCCTTGGTGGCAACAGGTTTGGGCACGCAGCCCTTAGTGTCAGGCACTGCACATGCAAGGGTTTTGTTCCATCGCCTCCCCTAAATACGAGTTTGCAGGTTTAGTTTAATTTCCTTCGCTGGCCAATAAAGTTTGCTTCCTTGTCAATAATCTGCAAAAACGGGTTACAGGAGCTGCACCAAAACTAAAGGGGTGGTCTTCACATGTGCCTATTTGAAATGCCTTTTAAATACAGCTATGGTGTTGCTTTCATCTTATGGATTAATTTTTTTATCCCAATTTCTTTTATTTTTAACTACAAGTAGCTTGTTTTTAGCATGAAGACCAGGAGTGATTATGCATATAATTAAGTTTCCATGTCTGAGGGGAAAAAAAAAAAAAGCAGCATTTAAATCAAGTAGGTGCAATTATTTGCACTGCATTCCTTTTAGGTTTTTGGCACTTCCCATATATATGCCAAAGGCCTTGCCCTGCTTAATTTGTAAAAGAATAGCTGGGAAGTAACTGGATAAAAACTTCAGGGGGAATGTCTGTGGGTGAGAGATCTACTAAACGACAATTTGGGCAAACAGTGGGTCTGGGTTCTGGGCAAGGTTTTCTAAGAAGCAGATGAACAAAAATTCTGGACCACCTTCCCAATGCTAATGGGCAGGTGAGAACCTACTGATTTCAAAAGAGAGCTTGCTCAGGGCACAGGAGTTCATCTGATAAAGTTGCTTGGCACAGAAGCAATTTCACCTGACAGTGTCCCTGGGGGAAAAACAGGTGACTCATGTTTGGTTAAAATGGTTAAAAATGGATCTGTGCCCGCTGAGAACAAATGGCTTTCTTTTCAGCTCTTCAAACAGGATCAGATGTGTAAAAATTCATCAAAGACCAAAAGAAGGTAAAGTATAACAAGGCCTTCAACACACCACCGAGCATTTAAAGACTAGCCTTAGCTGAAGCATGGATTCAGAGCAAGAACATTAAAGGTAAAGTTCTAAATCCAAATTAGTTGTTTATGATCAAAATTAGAGGGAAGAAACAACAAGTTCAGCCTACAGTTATGTCCCGTAAATATATAGTTAAAAATATACAGAAATGGAATGACCTGAGTTTTCATGTGGACAATTAGGCTAATCCTCATCAATCTGCCACCACTATATTTTAATCTGGAATTACCTTTTTCCAGCCCCGCCCCAAATTAACAATTTGCAGGATTGTGCTTGAATCACAATGCCCAAAGCACACATTTACCATACTGCAAACAACAGGCAGAGAATATTATTTTAGCAGTCAGCATAATGAGGAAATAATAAAAGCGCTTTGCAATACAGTCAAACACAAAAGGCACTTGAAACACTTTCCTTCTATGAAAATTAACTAAAAATAATTGTCTGTTCTCTGGGATACTGTAAATTCTATAAAGTACTCTAAAATAAAATAAAATAATAAAATATACAAAATAAATCAATAAAACATAAAAACTTTAGCTACTAAAATTAATCATTTAACATTGAGTATCTATAAATACCATTACATGATTTATGAAAATGCTTTGTAGGTATTCACAGTAAAGAGCTCTCAAAACTTTCTCGAAGGAAAGCCTTATTTGTGTTTCTAGGGCTGAAAATAGCTTCACATTATTACACAAGTCACATTTACACATTATAACCACACCATCAAAAGTAATTTTTAAGGAAGGCAGAAAACGGATATGTTCAAATTCTTTCTAGAGATATAATTTTCAAGTACCAGCTCTTTAACAGCATGTTCATTATTAAGGAAATAATGATACAGGCATTTAAAATACACCTGCAATGCTGAAGCCTTGCAATTCAGCCTACCTTGAAAGAGGAATGGTCATTGTCTAACAGTGGTTTCTGTTCAAGAACAAAAACAAAGCAGAGAATATAGTCAATACCCACTCCTACCCTGCAAGCCAGGTGGAATTTAAATGGCAATTTGATGTTCTGTTTAAGAGACAGCATTTGAAAATTTGGCCTAATCACAAAAGAAAGGCAATCAAATCAAAGAAACCAAAAATAAAGTGGAGGATCTAATACACTTACAGCATTCTCTGGTCTTACACTTAACTCTCATGCTTCCACACCGAAGGGAAAAACCAAACAAACTATGAGGAATTATCTAAAACAATTTATTTTTAATTAGATTAGAAATTAATTAACATGGGTATGTGAACATTTGAAGGAAAAAGAAAAAAAAATAGCAGCAAAGGGAGTTTTGAGATGAGGGAGATAAGTCCTTCATCTCCCTGGCTCCTGAAAAAGAGAGAGAACACATTAAAAGTGCTGAAAGAGTTTTCCACTGCCCTAAGTGTGCCATATTGGGAAACACATGCAATTTTAACTGTTCCTCAAGCCCTCATGATTTTGAATATGTGCTTAGATATTAAATTGATAATATCTGAGCATAGTCACACTCACATAAACCAACGTATTTAATGTGTCTCTTCGCAAATGCTACAAACCCCACATTTTCTGCAACACTTACAATTCCTTTTCCAACTTCTTTTGTACATTGTCTTGTTTGGCTGATGCAGAAAGGTTTTGAAAACCTTTTCAATTACAGTCTTACAGTCCTGCAGTAAAGAAAAACAAGTATCATGACAGGGCACTACATCCTCAAGAACAAGCTGATAAATTCAAAATAATAACAGTGTAGATGAGAACACTCCTACAGACTCAAGCAGCCTCTACTCAGGATTCCCAGTGTTTCCAAAATGTTAAAGCATCTCATGAAAGGTAAATCCTGGACTGAAGAAGTCTTTAGTACCTGTTAAGCTTGGATTCTGTGGCACAAATTGCTAATCAGCACATTGCCAAGTTATGTTTCATGGAATACACAGGTTTAGCATTGTTCCCTTTTTGAAACATACAATTTTCAATACTTTGCTTTCACAAAGTGTTTTACAAATACTTCTATTATAGCCACGGTCCTAATCCTACACTTACACTGCTGTGGACTCTCCAAGTTACACTACAAGCCATAAAATCTGCAGCCTTGCTGCACCAGCCACAAATGGGGCTGGCATTTCTTCACACACACTTGACAAATTCCACCCAGAGTCACTGCTTTCTGCTTGAGATAAATGACAACCCGATGACAACCTCTTCCTCATTACTACACTGCCACTTCATTAGAATTTCAAATATGTAATGTGAATCAATTACTTACAAGGGATAACCTTCAAGAATTCTTCATGAAGCCTGATGCCTTTTGCTCTCATCTTCTGAAACAGTGTCTGGCGAAGATCTGAAAACCTTCTTCCTACAGAGAAGTACTGCAGGTGCTGGGAGCTACCTCAGGAGCTGCTGTGGTGAGTGCTGTAAAAGTTGCTTTGGTGGTATTCCCATTGTTCCCTGCAGACAAATCTCCATCATCAACTCCACCACAGTGAAATAAAGAGAGTGAGTTTTGAACCCAGACGACTTTGGGAATGGTCTCTTCAAACAGAACAGAACACTGTGAGCTAATCCACTGCTTGGCATTCATTTATATGTATTTGCTCTGCAATTTCATTGTTTCAGATGCCATTGGAAGGTACCACCTTTGAAACAATGGACAACAGGAATGGGATGAAGTGGGAATGCTTATTGCAGACAGAGCTAATAATATTTCTTTTGAATGCCATCAACTGATATTTTTCTATTCAAATGCCGGTCAGACTTGATACCAGGCAACAATATTCTGTGTTGATGATACCACAGTTATTGTGTATCTGTGAGGTGGTGATAGAATCTAAACCCTTCAAAGGAGAAAATCCTTTATTTGTAGTTGGTACTGCAGCCCACACCAAAGCCCAAAGACCAGGACCAACACACATACTATATCAGTATATGGTATATATCAATATTTTATATTGATTACCATATCAAATCTAAGAACAAACAGCACCACCCCAGCTCACAACTGACACCCATGTGACACTGCCAGCAGATTATTTATTAATGCAGAAGGATTATTTGTCATTTCCATTTCGCTGTGGAAATTTAACCTGCTCTGTTCTTCACTTTGTCCTTTCTCTTAGAGGATTTTATATTAAGCATTTTAAAATTCAACACTGTCCACTTCAGCTTTCACTGAAAATCCCAAATTAATCACTAAATCAAACCCATTTCCTAGCAGCAAAGAAAGCTGAGGAGCAGGAAACTTTTAAATCGTATATCTAGACATTTACAGATCTTAGCTTATGGAAGTGTTCCTTAAGGATCATATAATTTTCAAATTCTCCCTCCACAAGGAGTTATTCATAAGTCAAAACAAAAAAACTGAAGGAAAAGCCATTTAAAACCAAGCTCTCCACCAGCTGCATAAACTTATTATAAACAGAGTTATTTAAAGTTTTAAAATATTAATTTTAAAAGCTCTAATGATACCTATTTTCCTGTCGTGATGATGAAAATTATGACCTCAAATTTTTCCCTTAATCTTTCATTTTCAGAGTGTTTTCAAGCCTTCATTTCAATTTGCTGCAGGAATATCCTGGTTATGGTTCAGTATTAATGGAATCACATTTTAAATGCTGCCTCCAACAAGTTGCTGCTACAACTCTTGGTTTACACGTTGCCATAACTTACTCATACAATGGTTCTTGGAAAACTACAAGGCATAGGAAAGAAGAACACCTCTCCCCCATCCCAAGTATCCCACAACATCCAGAAAGTAGTATGGAAACACAACCCTTCCACACACAAATTTCAAGGTTGGAAGCTACCTCTGAGTCAGGCAACTACTGCAAGCAGAAAGTCAGTGGCACAGATGAAGTTAAATTTTAGTTGAATTCATGCTATGTAACTGCAGTAAAATGACAGAACTGCCTATGCCATGCTGCTCCAAACCTAAGGATTTTATCACCTTTTTACACACAAATACCCTATCTTCTATCCTGAGTATCAAAAAATACAGCCTATGTCCTGTCCTGCCCTGCCTTTCCCCTGCTTTCCCAATGAACCAGAACCCATCGCCAGAGATAATCAAGATCAGTCAGACAAGAACCACAGAAGCCATTATTGTTATCTTAATGCCTCCCTCATCTCTGACCCAGAAAACTGAATTCGTGGTTGACAGAAGACTCTACACAACAACACAAAGATTTTTTTATATGCTGCCCAAACATATTTTTCAGTAGCAATGTGGTTTATTCTGTCATAATCTCTGAACGGAGAATGGCAAATATCCCTAGCTGGATCCTCTGCTAACCACCTGAAAGGAGGTCAGGAAAGAGCAGGAAAATAAAGAGTGGAAAATAACCCAATTCCATCCTATTAAATGTCAAAAAGGAAAAGCTTCCCTGCTGAGAGAAGACACTGCCTACAGCCTAGATTTCCTTTCCATGACACTGAACCTCATCCAAGAGCAGGACACAGCCTGTTTTTCACCAGCTACCACCCAGGGGCTCAGGGAAGTGGGAGACTCTTCCTTGGGCCAGGCTCCATGAGAAGGTGGAAATGAACATCCCCTGCTCAGGAGAGCTCACAATCTAGGGAAGCAAAATGACGTACAGGAGCATGGAAAAAGTACAGCTCAACACAAACAAACTCTCTATACACAAAAATACATTCATGAAAACTATTAAAATAGCAGTGCTATTTCTACCTGCCCCCCTGCCTCGCCATCAGTGCTGGGATGACTGCTCAGTGCTGGGATCTAGGGAAGGTGGGTCTTTGGGAGACATTTCAAGGAGAAGGTGGTAGGTGGCCTCATGAATCAGTCCAGGGAGGGCACTCCATGCATACAGGACAGCGTGGAAGATGTTCTACCAGACAGAGCAGCATTTCTGAGGGTGAGAAGCTCAGGTGTGGTGTGCAAGATCCCTGATTCCTGAGCCAGACACAGTGTGGGCGTGGGAGCACGTGTGGCCGTTCGGGACACGAGCGGGGTCGCTAATGTGGGACTGCACTGGGGGGTCACTGGCCACTGACTCTCTGTGGCTGCCACTCAGCACAGGAACTGTGAGGAGATGAGATGGAAGGGGTTGGAGAAGAGTTGGGTACAGAGAAGGAAAAAAAAGGCAAGGTGAAGGAAAGGAGACAAAAGGAAGAAATGCAGGGGATATTTTCGAATGTGGTCTTCTGTTTGAGTTTCTTAAGTGTGTTTGCAATTTATTAACTAAATAACTAAAAAAACATATACAATAATTAATGTACATTTGACACCATAAAATAAACTGGACCATATGCCAACATTTACATTGTTATTATCCTTCACTATGGAAAGGTGAGAAACAGGTTAAACAAGAGACAAAATGCTTCCCCTTACCCTTCTTCTTCCGTACTGAAGCTTGGAAATAGAAAGGGAAGGAACTGTGAATCAATTCTGAAGGTAATTTTTTATATGCTAAATCCTCGTCTGTCATTTTGAGTGCAAACATTATCCTTCCCTCTAAGATGTCAGTCTCTCCCTGCTCACCTCTGCTAAACAGGTATCTCTCAACCCACAGTAGATAAAATCTGCTTTTGCCAAGCTGTTTATCAGGATTTATGAGGAATTTCTCCCCTGCAGTTATTAGGGATACATGCAGAATTTTTTTTTCTAAGTTCTTTTTTAAAAGCAGTAATTGGGGCAACTTATTGATACCAGGGCTGTCAAACTATGACAACATCAGGCATCCCCAAATCTTTGCAGATTGAAATGGAAAGGAATCATTAGCACACTGCCATCTTTTGGATTAATTAATTTGAAAGAGAACAGCTCAGATGGTCTGCTCTTTATTGTGAAGAACAGAATAGCTCAAATCATGTCAATAAAACTGTAAGTAGGGTTCAGAGCCAGACAAAGGAAGTGACTCTAATGACTGCAAGATGGATAATTTAAAAAAAAAAATGTTTACCTTAGCTAGAAGATATTACAAAACTATGCATTCTAAGGGAAAACAAATGGGGATTTTCTATTTACATTTTTCTTCTGCTACATAACGAGGGACATTCAATAAAATTAAAGGCATCACATTCAAAACCAATAAAAAGGAAATACATCTGTACACAGCACATAATTAGCCCGTGGGATTCTTTGTCACAAGACATTATTGAGACCACGAGCTTCTCCAGCTCAGGAAAAAGGGTTACACATAGGTATTGATGAGAACATCCACAGTGCTCATTTATAGGTTCTTCCTATTTGCTTTGCACATATATGGCATGAAAGGAATGCTCATTCATTAAAGAGTTTAATGGCTATAAAAATGTGGGTGTTCTCATAGCTCTCACAGATGTCCAATATATACACAAATACATAGAGGGATATATAAATTATAGATAAATACACACATACAAGCTGTGTTTTATGTCAGGAGACAACTTCTAACTGATGATAGGGAGAACACTTTCCCTGTGGAAGCTTGTTCAGTTGCTGTGCAATTTAAGAATTCTTGTCCCTTCTGATAATAGCCCTTTTCCAGGACAAATATGAAAATAGGTGGACTACAGATGTTCTTTGGAACAGCAGTCACATTGTTTGCTAAGGTGGCAAATGTTCAGAGTGTCACAGAAGTGGCTTTTACAGACTTTTTTGGGAAGAAAGCAAATTTCTGCCACCACTACAGCTTTCCCAGGGCACAAACACCTCTGGAACATGGTGCAGGACTATTTCTCAGAACAGAAAACTCCTGCCACTGCAATGTCTGCCCCATCTGGATCAAGGCATAAATGGGAAATGTGCTTAAAAATGGAAATTTGTCCCATGGCTGCTTGTTAAAGGAGTTGCAGTGGTTTCTGCCACTTGGTGAGGACAAACAGCAGAGCAAGAGCCACAGCTTGAGCAGGGGGGTGGGAAAGCTAAAATATGATGGTCTCCACTGGGGACATTACTATTAACAAGCTATTCTCCTCTAGGAAAATGCTGCTTCTGCTTTAAGATCAATATCTCCTGTGGAGGATTGAAAAGCCAGAGAAATAGAAGAATATCCTCAGCTTGAAAGCAATTGGCAGAAGAGGATAACAAAGGGGCAAAAATGGTGCTTAAGTATTGCTGTCCCCTTGGGAAAGGTGGTTGATAAACCAGCAAAGTTTTACAAACCCTCAGCACTCCTTGGAAGAAAAGCAAATGAGAAACACCCAGACCCACAAAGTGTGCTCCAGAAACAATATTTTACATTTTAATCCTGGAAGAAAAATGATGGAGCATTCACGAGCTGATGATACCTTGAGTTAAGCTCCTAAACTTCCTTGTACATAAAACCCAAATTTTCTGAGATTTGCTGGAGCTAAATAATCAGACTGGGGTGGTTTTTTTGGGTCTTCATTTGGTTGTTAGACCATAGAGAAGACACTACCTACTTCAGCACCACTTTGCTGGGAGACTTCCCATTGGAGTTACATGACTTGACTCACTAAAGGATGGATGGGGTCCATCTGCCCCCAAAAAACCACTGACTTACAGGGGAAAAAAAGGGGCCACAAGGCTTTGATTCCTTCCAGTTGGCCTTCAAATGAGTCCATGTCAGGAAAACCCCAAGATCATAAAATTAAGTATCTAATTGTAGAATTACATGGAAAAATGGTTTTATTGTGTGGATTATTGTCATCTATGACTCTGCAGTGAGGGATGTGGTTTGGTTTTATACCCATTTCTCACTTGCTAAACACATTCTTTTACTGTTATAGCCACATAGAAATATGCACTGGGCTTTCCTCATTTTATATATGATTTATTCGTATTTCCATGTCTTAGTCTAGCTGCAGAAATTCTACCTTTTAGTGACCTAACAGATTAAAACCAGGAAGAAAAGGACAATTACATTCCTCATTTCTAGAAAATGAATACAAATTCCTGAAGAATTATGCATATCTAGAATGTGGATGATCAAGCAAAGGAATCTACAACCACATTTCTCAAAACTAGCAAATAAAAGACTGAATGCTCAATAATTTTTATTACCAATAGTGAGAGGAATTAAGTTTATATCATGCACAGAAGTCAAAGTGATATCATAATATGCACTTTTTCAGATCAAATGAAACAAGTTGAAGTTGAAGCTGCTTTAACACTGTCAGCTTTTAATAACAGCTTCTGGCAGCTTACCTTTATCCACTAATGAGAGGCCACAGAAATTTAAAATAAAACAATATTAGATGAACTGAAAATTTAGAAAGCAAAGCTAACAAAACATGATACAGCATTATTTTCTTTTTTTTTTCTTTTCTTTTTTCTTTTCTTTTTTGGTAGAGGTGCCAAACTTTGATGATGCATAAAATGTATCAACATTCCCTTGCGCAGCAGTAAAGGCACAAGTCTCCACACAAAATCATTCATGCGAGTCATGCACATTTTGAACTCTCCAAAGATGCAGCATTCTTAAAACCTCCTCTGCTCTAGACACTGTACACAGTGCAGCTCCCTTCATCAATTTCACACAGAGACATATAGATAGATATTTACATCTCCACCAAGCCAGCATGCTTGCCAAAAAACACTTTCTTACCAAGCTCTTCAAGCTCTGAGGTCATGGACTTAGAGCGCAGGGTCAGTGCAGTGGTTGGAGCTCGCTTAGGAGGTGGTGGGGCTGTGCATGGGACAGAAAAACACACAGGTGTCAGCCAAAACACACCCTCTGGAAGCCCTGTGCTCACAGCCACAGTTCCATAGCCATTTAAAAGAATAAGCTCCATGAAATAAGGCGAGAATAAATACCTACATGTGGAGGAAAAAGCCCTGAGATGCTTTTCATGGACTGAATTTCTCCACTGTTTCTGGCTCTAGCGTAGGTTGCTTGACACATCCGCAAGCTTTTATGTAACAGGATACATAGAAACATTTAAAGCTAAATAACTGTGCACTTCTGTTTCCCAGCAGGAAAAGGGCTTTCTAGAGAAAGGACCTCGCAGCAGTGGTGCCCCTTCCGAGAAATATGCAGGGCTAAAAACCTCCTGGGCACCAGCCAATCTCTGGCAGATTAATTTAATCATTGAAGAAACAGTTCAATCTGAGAAATACAGGAAAGAACATTCAAATGGATCTGAATTGTTAAGGTGAATCTAAGGGAAACAGGTGATCCTCAGAATATATAAGGTCTTAAAATATCCAGGCAATAATCTAGCACAGAAGCTACCATTTCTGCTTTGGTATCCTGGTAACAAATATTTCTGGTGGTCAGAGAAGATCATCTCATTCCAACCCCTCTGCCACAGGCAGTGGCACCTTCCATTGTCCCAGGTTGCTCAAAGTCCCATCCATCCTGGCCTGGACACTTCCAGGAGTGGGGCAGCCACAGCTTCTCTGGGCACCCTGTGCCAGGCCTCACCACCCCCACAGCAAAGAATTTCCCACTAATATTTGGCCTAAACATGCTGCCTTTCAGTTTAAAACATTGCCTCTTGTCCTGTCACTACATTTAAGGTCAATATGATACATACCAAAAGGCAGAGGCAAGAAGGTTTAAAATGTGCAAACAGTATTTCCATCAAGCCAAAAATAATGCAGGACCATGCTGGGACATGATTTAGTTTATTACAGCCTTTCTCTTTAATTATTACTATTTTTAATAAGCAGTGGAGGTGAAAAACACTTCCAGCACAGACAGAGAGTTTTGATTTCATGGAGCAGGGGGGATGCTGCAGTGCCAGCTCCTCACCTGCCCCGTGCTGAAGAGCCAGGTGTGTGTGAGTGAGAACTCAGGGCACTGTGGGAGCAACAGGAACTTTCAGCAATGTGCTGCAGCTGCAAGGAGCACCAGTGAGCAGCAGCAATCTTTCCTGCTTAATGATAATTATCAGGGCCTAATGACTTCCCAGCATAGCTGAGAAACCAAACTCTGGGGCATCTAAGGTGAAGGAAACAGTGTAAATTCCTTTTTTGTTTCCTTTTTTTTTTTTTTTTGGGTGAATTTTTCATGGTGGATTTTTTGGATGGGTGTGTGAGAAACACTGCTAAACTACCCCTATTTCAAGTACATTTGAAATTAATAAAAGATCATCTATTCTTAGTGCTTTTCCTCTCTCACTACTGCAAGAAATTTTACTACAAGATCCTCAAACATATACATGTGAAAAACTCATAAAGATTAATGCCAAGCATGATGAGAGAATATTGCTCTTTTGGCCACACATTAATGTCCAACCCAACAGAATTAAATCACTCCAAATTAAACAAGAACAGGACATTTCAAATTTGAGAAGCAAAGTCTAATAAATCGGAATTTAGAAAACAGCAATTTCATGCCCATACTTGGTTTTCTGTGAAGGAAGAGCAGAAGAGTCCATTAGGAAGAGAGAAAAATGTACCTTTCTTCCTTGCTGTGTCATCTGGATCAAGATTCCTGGTTACTGTGACAACCTTCAGCACGAGGTGATTGCCCCCCTGTCGAATCATGTTCACCACCTGCCTGTGGCCAACTTTCACTACATTCTCATTATTAACCTGCACAGAAAGGAAGGAGTCTTTTAGACCAAAATGCAGAAAATTTTTGTTTATTATTTTCGTAAAAAGAATGTGGAAGGAACAGATAAAAACAGAATTTCTAGTTACTGTATTTTAATGAAAATATGTATTTAAGGAACAGTGCACAGCTGACACGATGACCAGAAAACAAAAAAAGCTACTCCTTTGGGAAATGCACATGTAAATAAATTCAATGTAAATAAATTCAACCAAATCCTACCCTTTACATATTTTATTTACAATTACTAGAATTTTCCTTCTGCAAGTTTCTGAAAGGATCTCCTGTCCTGGAAGCAAAGGCAACAGGGCCATAGGAGGCCCAAAGAGTGTCCATGGAAAAAGAAGAGTTAAATGCATGAAGAGTTAAATACATGAAGCCCTGAGCAGTTACGGTGATCATGCCAATTAAACTTCAAACTGCACTACAACATTTAGCTTAGGGGAAAAAAAAATAAAAAAAAAAAAATATATATGTATATATGTACTCTCAGTAATTTCTAGTGCTAAATCATCCTTTTTGCTGGGTTTGTCTTTCCATAATATCAATTAATAGACATAGAAGAAAGCAGAGGCATAAAAACTGTAAATAAGCACAGCTAAAAGTAATTTATTTATTCATTCAATCTATAAGGAGTCACTGAAAGTTATCTGAAATTTGAATGATGACAACATCTAAGACTGAAGTGCTGCCTGTGCTATTTGAACATAAAAGATATTGAGGAATGGAGGAAGAGCTGCTGCCAGGATACATGCTGGGAAGTTGATCTCTCTCCAAAATTCCACTGACTCAGTAATATTTCACTGAGATCACTCAATGCCTCCCAAAATGAACAGTCATTTCCAAAGTAAGTGTTTTTAGCCTCCTCTATTTATTCTGACAGGCTGGGCACCTCACACTCTGAAGGATTTACAGTTCAGAGCAGAGTCTCTCATTAAATATTATTGCTGTTTAGCAGAACAAACAGCACGGGCCGCCCCACTCCAACCTGAAATCATTTCTCATCCATTGTCTGGAAGGAAAACCTTCCCTTTTTTCAGGCTTCAGCTGAGCCAAAATGCATTTTAATGAAGCAGTGCATTGGTAAACCATCTTTTCAGCAGAGTGCTGCAGTGGGGAGCCTCCAGGACGAGCTGTGTGCTCTGTGCCTGAGCTCAGGGTGCTTTTGGAGATGCTTTTTTGGTTCCAGGCACTGTGACGTAGGTGGAACACATGCTGAACATCCAGACCTGTTGAGCAGGCAAAGACGAAGTTCTCTCATTCTGTAGGTGGAGGGTATAAAAGAATATTGATTTAAATAGGACTCTTGCTGGTTTGCTTTATTTTACACCTCCTTAGCATCTGGTATTTAATTCCAAGAGATATTTATTTAGCTGGACCAATGGCATCTAAATTTAATCTAAAATACTGAAGCAAAAAGCGTTATCCATTTACTTCTGAATTCCTTCCAGTATTAAAGCCTCAAACAGGTAATTCTTTTTCACAGGAAAAAAAAATCAAAAATCATGTAATTAAGAATTATGGAATGCATCCACTCTATTTTTACTGGAATTAAATTTCAAGCTTGGAAGCCAGTAAGGATTACCATGTAATCCCTAATGCTGTCAAAAAATAGAGCCCTCCAAATAAATCAAAAGTCAATATTAATCAAACACATGTACACTTCACTAGTGTAAAGTGATAAATGTGTAATATGATAAACAGCTTATGCAGCATCCCATCTGTTCCCATCGTTCTGTGCAATGATATTTAACATTTAGAGCAGGAGCAAATATATACAACACATTTTTTTAAAGCTGCCTCAGAAACAGAACCTGTAAATGACTGTTTATAGCAGCTTTGTTGAAAAGGCACAGTTACAAAAGCTGGGACTGAAAAGATTGATCTGAAAATAAATATAATAAAAATATTGATAGGAGAGCTGGAGGTTCTTTAACTCAGAGTCCTACGGAAATACTAGAGAACAAAAGAATCATGGAACCAGCAGAGCAGAACCTCATCTTCACAGTCTTTAGCACCTCAGGGGGTAAAACTGGAGCATGATTACAGAGTAATAACTTGGGAAGTGTCAATAGGTTGTAAGTGACATTATTTCTGTTACCCTTCTTCAATATTTCATCCAGAAGCCAAATGTCTGCAGGAAGGGTTGTTAAGCAGTGAGCCACCAGAGTTCAAGCAGGTTTGTCTGACAGTTTTAGTTTGATTTAGTCTGCAAACTTTTCCAGGTGTGAGTAATTTGAGGCAAATCTCTCTCCACTTCCATTTCAAGCTTTGGCAAGGGGGAGTTTGTAAACCAGTAAAGCAGGGATCTATTCCAACTGTGCCAATTCATGTCATAATCACCTGTGTTCTCTGTATTAAATGTAATCCCACTCTGGAAAACACTCAAAAACTACTTTTTGTTTTAGTAGCTAGGTGTTTGGAAGGAAGCTCTAGAAACAAAGAGTAAAGTTGTTTTGCAGGCACAAATTTGTGTCTTTCCCTCTTCTTCAACCCAATCTTTCTGCATATTTTCTGCAATCTTTCACTGCAAAACCTGAGGTTCTTATTTTCCTTCTACAATTCCACAAAACGTTTTTCTGCCATGTCCTTCGTAAATAAGTGAAAATAGATAATAGAAATAGACATGTGAGGAGGCTGGGTCTATGCTACATCAATGAAATCTGGTCATGCAAGAAACAAAATATAAGGAAAACTGTCTTTTGGCACACCTCACAATTTCAACAACTCTCCTCTCTCCTCTCTGGACTCTTGGGAAAAGCGTCAGAATTCTGTATTTTTGAAAATCATCCTTTATTATCATCTGGTTACTGGGCAGTGGGATGGAAATTACTTTGAGAGAATTAATTGATGAAGTAATATGATTTCATTAATGTCTTTAAAAATCGTCTAAACAGGCTGGATAACTTTTATCCCCCTGAAATGCAGTTATGCAATAGATTGAAAAATAATATAATAAAATGTAATATAATATACTATTATACTACTATATATTCTAATAGAATGTAATGGGATGGGATGGGATAGAATAGAATAGAATACCTGCACACTGTAAGCTGGCAGATGCATGAGCTAGAACACATACACCTGAGCAGCCTTCCTGTAGGAAGGTGCAAAAGGAAAAAAATAACCACTACCAGAGAAAGATTTTTGCAGACTTTGTTCTATTAATTAAAAAAAAAAGGATAAAAAAAATTCTCGATTTCTTCAATCATCCTAATCCTTCCATTACCAAAACATTCCCTCAGTGGAAAAGGCAGTCAATCATTTTTAACAGCAATTAAGTAGGCAGAACTCCATCATTATGCTTGGGATGCCCATTGCAGAATGGCTGAAGTTGGGAATCACATCCTCCCAGAAGAAGCTTCTCAGAAGCTCTTCCTTATCCACTGAACTACTTGGAAAAAAAACCCCAACAAACCCCCAAACCCGTTACACACACTTACAACCCCCTGCCTACACACTTTTTAAAATTCACCCTTTTTGATAAATATTTCACACACACAAACCCAATCACAATTTGTACCAGCGGAAATAAATAGCTCCCAAGTGATTTTGCAGGCTCAAACGATGTTTCTGCATTTCAAGTAACCACAGAGCTGTGCACGTGGCACTGCCTGTCAGCAGCCAGTAAGAGTTTCCCATCTGGAGACTCAAATGTGAGAGGAAGAAAGACACAGTGACCCAGAGACTTTTGGGGAAGTTATTTGTGCTCTCAGTGTACCCACAGTGCCAACCCAGGGGTCACCTGCTGAAAACCAGCGAGGGCTTGTGGTGTTTGTGGCCATACTGGGATGGGCTGGAGCAGCATTTAGCACAAACCACCACAAATGTCCCAGATTTGCACCTGACAAGCATATTTAGTGTCAAAAACTCTATTATTTGATCCTCTAAATTCATTCTAAAGCTGGATTTAACAGGCTCATGGACAGCACAAGGGTACATAGTGAATCCAGAAAGGTTTCTGTGAAAGTAAATTTGAACAAATTCTGTTGGCAGCAAACTTCTTATTGAGCATCCCAGGAAAGGCCTGAATGCAAAAATAACCACAGATCCAAAGGAGGAGGCAAGTTAAAAAGGTCCAAAGCCAAAAGATGCTTTGGTGTAATGACATTTTATGTGCTTACAAAATGCACTTCACCACAAATGATATCAAGATTCGCTGTCTCAAAAAGCTAGCACATGATTTTAACCTGTGTCTTAGATTAAAATAGAAAGTAATAATATGATATATAAATTAGTCCCATAATTGAAATTAATATGTGAATTTGTCTCTGCAAACCCACTTATTCCCATCCCACCACAAAAGCTTAAATACAGAGAAGCAAATGGCTTCAGTCCACCAGACTCCAACTATTCATTTATTTCAACAGTTTCTGAAACAGGCCTTGAAGAGTCTCTGGAAAATTCCTGAAGATTTTCTAATACAAATGGGAAGTTTGTTTACATTCTGATCTCCCACATAAAACATCACTGATTCCCACGGGTGTTTGACCATATCCCATTTAATCTACTTTGGTGTAAAAGATGCTTCAGAGGCTTCATGCACTCTGTTGATCTAAAGGGTGCTTTAAAAAGAAATAAAAAACAACAAAAAGCTTCACAGAAGCAGGGATACAAGGATGTGGAAATTCCAGCTGACATCTTGCATTAATGATGTTTTTGCAGTAATCCACTTGCTCATAGATTTGCCTGCCCTGGTTGGCCTTACTGCATGGGATGATGTCAAGAAGAAGCCAGGGAGCATTGGATTGGACTAGGTGATCAAAGGAGGCAACTTCCCACCTGAATCCTGTCATTTATGGAGTTTCTCCAGAAGAAGAAACATTAAAAGGAAGTATTTGACAGCCTTTCAGAAAAAAAAGTACATATGAATTAAGGGAAAAACATCAAAATCATTCGTAGCCTTGCTTCAGTATAAATGTCCAATATTGGGGCACATGAGCAAGATATAAGATGCCTGAAAGAAAACACCCTGTGG